TTTCAGGTCCATTCCACTTTTCCTCCCCTGGTTTTGAGGGACAGAAAACAATTCCCTTTTTTTTACTCCACTTTCCCCACAGAAACAAGTCAGTATCTAGGAATCCTCAAAATCCTCCAGTATTTCAAGTGGACATTGACTGCACTGCTTGCTGCAGATACCGAAAATGGAGAGAAATTTCTTCACATCCATACTTGACCAGAATGGCATTTGTGTTGCTTTTACAGTGACCATTTCAGATTATGGGTTTGATTATAAGGAGAAGGATGCTGGACTTTTATATAGAAATGCTGAGATCTTTATTTACCATGCTGAGGTTCAAACCTTTGTGCATGGATTTTCAATTACACTAAATTTCCTGATGAGCAAGAAGGGATACGTTGTTGGGAAAGTTTGGATCATATCATCTATTTGGGACATCACTTTCCAGATGTCAGTCACTACAAAATTCAAAGAAAAAATATACCGTATCTTTTCTTTTCTTAGTCACACAAATACAAAAATAAACTATGATGAACAGCTTGAGTCTTTTACTGAGGAAATTGTGGAGGAAATCTATTCCTGTTCCTATTCAAAGCATGCCCCATCTGTGAAAGGCTGGACAAGGTGCAGAGAGAAAGAAAAAGGGAGGCCAATGTCTCAAGAGTTGAGGGAAAGGATTCTGTCCATGGACGGCTACCACATTTACCACACAGTCTGGACAGTTGCACATGCTTTACATGCAGCTTATGCTCTCCAGTCCCAGCGAAGAGCCACCAAGAGTAGAAACAGATCAGGAGTTCAACAGTTGCAGCCTTGGCAGGTACAATTTTAGACCTTTTTATGGAGATTTAGCATAAACCAATTTTTACATTTAATTTCCTTTTTATTTGACTCTATGAAGATGGGGAATTATATAGTGTCCAGATTCATATTAAAGTGGCAGAGCTTGCCAATAAATTAATATGATCCTAATCCTCAGCCGTATAAATTAAAGGAAAGAATTACTTCATCTGGTCGGTTTTAGCTTTGAGATGTTCTGTTTGACTCCGTGCTAATTTTGACCTTGCAAAACCAATTTGGCAATTAGGTCTCTGGCAGCATTTCAAGGGGGATAAGTTGGGTACTTATCAACATTCTCCTGAAAGACTGTGGCAACTTGAGCAGACATCTGTTGGAATCTTCACATAATGTTTGTGAAGCCTTGCTTCACAAACAGACAGAATAGTCAATTCACAGATGAATGTATGGTGTACAAGGACAACAATGAACATAAGCAAACTTGATGGATGATTGGCGGGACTATGCACAATCGAAAGTAGTGATGTATGAACATAAACAGTTGGAAAATTCTTTCACACTGTAAAAATAATCAGAATGAGATAAGTGATTACTTAAGGTATATTGTTATTAAATAGACAATTAAGGATGCAAGGGAATTAGGTTCGTTGAAAAGAAAGAAATATTAACTGTAATTGAATATATGACGTACAATGAAAGTGAGGTCCTTAGTTATATTTGATGGAAATTTTGTGATTGTATACACAATTGAAAATATGGATGCAGAAACGCTTGTAACCAAACAACATGCTGTATGTAATGGATGAGAGTTTTATATGTTATATATGTTATATATGTTTATTTAAAAAGAAACAGTCAATTCACAGCCATATAAATAAAACTGGGTTAGGGTTAGGGTTAGAAGTCTGAAGAACAATTGATGTGTTGAATACACCTGTTTCATTTAATTTGCCTTTTTTGCTATTTTGAATTAGAATGATCTTTCTCTACATAACATTAAAATTACACCACCTCAGGGTGAGAAGGCAGGACAGGCTCAGTCACCAAGGAAGCTTCTATGGGGAACAAGTAACTGGATTTCCCATGTTCTGGACCTACGTCTTCTTTGCTAGTCCCTGTTTTGCAACTAAGCTATCCAAGAAATGTGCCTTTCATTTTTCTAAACTTTTCCTTTCTGCCCATAACCCTAATGTCGTCTTTATCCTCAGTCCATGAGTGAGACGGACGTAAGTTATGTTCCGCTGCAATGATGCTAAAGTAGCCTTGCATTATTTCTTCTGAAACCATGTGAAGACAGCTGCCAAGTGTTTCAAACCTATTTGGCTGGGTCACCCATGATCTGGAAGGGACGTCCAGCCACTGGGAAATGACCGAGAGGAGAGACATATACCAGACCAACATTGGTTGGCTCCAGATCCAGGATGGATGGGAAACTCTTTAGATTAGTTATGGGGAATTGTCCTTAGTCCTCGGACCAAGCCTTATGTTACAGGAAGGTCAGCTATGGAATCAGGAGAGTTTAGAACTTAATCCCACTTTCCTATTTTCTTCAAATGGTTCTTTTCTCTTTGCTATTTTAGCTTCACCCTTTCCTGCACATCTCCCAGTATTACAATAATTCCATAGAGGGAGTCTATTTGAATGAGAAAGGGGACCTGGCTGCTGACTTTGACATCTTCTACTGGGTGAGGTTTCCCAACTGGTCTCTTTACAAAACGAATGTGGGGAGTCTGGAAAGGAAGGGATGCTCAGAGGACACATTCAAGTTCAAAATGGACGAGGATGCAATTAGAAGGACCATACAGGTCAATGAAGTATGGAACATAATTACTTTTATTTCCACATATTGAATACCTTGATTAAAATCTGTTCCTTTTCCCCAACCTTGCCTCTCAGCAGTTTGTCAAAAGGCCTCCTTCAACCATAGAATTCAGGGTTCCTTTTATGGATTATTCGTAAAAGCTGTGGCACCACCAGTGATGACCAGCTGCCTGAAAGGAATATAAATCCTTTCATTCCCCATTGTCCTCTCAGAGCTGAAGAAGCGTCTAGGATGAGAAGTGAAATGTTTTCAAATAAAAAATAAAGGAAGTCCAGTTGCCTCCTGAAAAAACATCTTTGGGACAACCATGACCTGGTCGACTGAGAATCTCTACAGATTATTCCCAAAGTGTGTCATGTGCTATGGGACAGACCATGGTGGCTTCAGTGAAAAGATTTGAATCTTGACCTTCGCCAATTTTATTGATGTTCATTAGTAGAGCCAACATCTCCCTCAAGAAAAGAAAAGGAAAAAAAGAAAAAGTCTTCTTGACTATAAATGACTTCACAAAATGATTCAAGAAGAATACAGCAGTATTTTTGCATCCTTCCATTGAGATCCTGAGGAGAATTAATCCCATCCAGCTTCTTCACATCAGCAAAAGTGCCTATAAACTACTACTTAAGTGGGCATCTCAAAATATATTGAGACATCTTGCTGAATGCCGGCTACTTTCCCTACAATGCAAAGAATCAAGAAATAGTTTCTGTAAAAGAATCCTGCTCAATGCTTATTCCCACTTATATTTTATGGAACCCAAATAAATGAATTCCAATTTGAAACAGTGGGTATGTACAGAGGCATAGAATCAACATCAAGTAAAGAATTAGTACCTCTTTATGAAACCTTAATAAGACCACACCTGGAATACGGCATGCAGTTTTGGTCACCACACTACGGAAAAGATGTTGAGACTAGCGGTGACATGATAATAGTATTCCAATGTTTGTGGGGCTGCCGTGAAGAAAAAGGGGGTCAACTTATTTTCCAAAGGAAAAGAAGGCAGTTTTACAAATGTACATTATAACAGATGTATGTTGTTAAATTTACATGTTTTCACATGCTCACTGGGGATTGATTGACCAAACCCTGGGATGTTTAAACAACAGTCATTGACCCGCTGGTCCTTAATTTACATGTTTTCACATGCTTACCAGGGATTTGTTGCCCAAACCCCAGGAAGTTTAAACAACTGTCATTTGCCAGCTGTTTTGCCAGAGCTTCTTAAAAATCAAGCTCCGGCAGCCCAGTCAGCAGAGTGCAGTCACTTACTCTTGCAATAAAAAGTGCTGAAACTCACTCGCACCTCTCACCTGCTGTTTCTAGCCAATCTAACACTGGCGCTGAAGGACAAATGGATCTGAGAACCCTCGCTGGACAAGCAGACTTTTTGCACAAAGACCAAGACCCTGCACCACAGCACGAGATCGCATCGCAAGCATCCCCTCCACCAGCGATCTTTGACCCATAGATGGAGGATGGGCACACGTACATGGGGTGATTCTGGATGTGTCTGGAAGCCAACGACTACCAGGACCAGCCAGACAATAGGAAGCGGGCATTATTCCTAACTTACTGTGGAACAAAAATCTATAAGATGGCACAGACGTTGATTGCCCCAGCAGACGTAGAGACCATCACATGGACAACCCTACAATGCACCCTGGTAGACCACTACATGCCATCTGCTGTCCCATGGTGAGCTTGAACAAGTTTTACCACCAGAGCCAATGGTAAGGAGAGATGGTGAACGATTTTGTCGCCAGCCTCCAAGAAATTGCTACCTGGTGCGAATTCATCAACCCAGAAGAAATGATGAAGGATCGGGTCATCCTAGGAATGGGAGACCTCTCCTTGCAAAAGAAATTGCTAATCAGAAGGGGAGTCTCATTCAAGAATGTGTTCAAGGAAGCCCAGGCAGCTCCCGTAAGGAAAACCAGTGGGGTACACCAAATATTCAGGGAACCTGACTGGGCATCCAAAGTTCCGGAGTACGACGATGAAGGGGATGATGATGACGCCATCCACCTCATGTACCCAGAGAGGAGACAAAGCACAAGGAACATAGAGGGCAGGCAGCCATATTGCCAGGCTGCATGGGATTCCATTCAAGAGCAGCGTGCCATTTCTGGGAAGCCATCTGCCGCAGATGCCAACGGAAATGCCACATTGCCGAGATGTGCAGAGCATCCCATCCCATCCCACCCCATCCCAGCCAAGACCCATGATTCCACAGGGAAGACCAAACAACCCACGAACTGGCCAACAGCAGAATAGGAGGAGAGAGGAACAGTACCAAGCCCAGAGGGAGATCCATCACACTACTGTGGGCCACTCAGTTGCCTATGAAGGGGAGAAGTTCCATGCCACGGTGACCATTGAAGGGAGAACACGCAAGATGGAGCTGGACACAGGATCATATTTTACGATCATGTCCTGGCAGACCATTAAGAAATTGAACCCGACAGCCAGCAAGAAGTTCCTCAAACTACCAAATGTCCGGCTCAATGACTACCAGGGGAACCAGATCCAAGTCCTAGGAAGAGCCGAGGTGGCGCAGTGGTTAGAGTGCAGTATTGCAGCCACTTCAGGTGACTGTTAGCTGCAGTTCAGCGGTTCAAATCTCAGCAGCTCAGGGTTGACTCAGCCTTCCATCCTTCCGAGGTGGGTAAAATGAAGACCCAGACTGTGGGGGCAATATGCTGACTCTGTAAACTCCTTAGAGAAGGCTGAAAGCCCTATGAAGCGGTATATAAGTCTAACTGCTATTGCTAGAATGGAGTTCCACAAACTCTAGGGCCATTCTACCCCCCTCAGAGTCATTGCCGTCCTTACTGGGAGTGGAATGGTTCAAGCCCCTGGGGCTAGACATCGCCGGCCTGCATCGAATCTCAACCCATGACCTGGATTGGCTACTGGCAGAGTTTGCAGATGTCTTTGATGGGGGCCTAGGTAATTATATGTGGAAACTCATTTCATTTAACCTAGACCCCCATGTAATCTCCATCAGGCTCACACCTTGAAGGGTCCCCTTTGCTCTATGGCCCAAGGTGGATGAGCAATTGGACAAACTAATTTCCCAAGGAATCCTTGTGCCGACCGACCACATGATATGGTAAACCCCAATAGTGAAGGTTCCATCTGCCTCTGTGCGGATTACAAGTGTACACTGAATAAGGCCTTACAGCAAAGTGTGTACCCAGTGCCAATTGTGCAACATCTGTTGCATTCCCTAGGAAGCGGGAAAATATTTTCCAAACTGGACCTGGCCCAGACATACCAACAATTGCCTGTGGACAAAGCTACCAGGGAAGCACAGATGATTATGACCCACAGGGGGCTTTCAAATGCACCAGACTGCAGTTTGGAGTCAGCATAGCCCCAGGACTCTTTCAGTGTTTAATGGAGCAGTTACTACAAGGAATCCCTGGGGTGGTGCCATACTTTGATGATGTATTTATCTCAGGGGACTCCATAGAGCAGCTGATGGAACACATGAGACAGACTTTGGGGAGGTTCAAGGAAAAGGGACTTAAAGTGAACCCAAAGAAATATAAAATCAGCATGAGGCAGGTAGAGTTTTTGAGATACCTGATAGATGGATCTGGCAACCACCCCACTGACAGCAAATGAAGGCAATTAGAAACGCCCCCCTCCAAGGAACAAGACAGAGCCCCATGCTTTCTTAGGACTATTGAACCTTTATAGTATTTTTTTACAACAGAAAGCCATCATTGCTGAGCCACTACAGAAGCTCCTGGGAAAGACAGCACCGTGGATCTGGAGACAGAAGGAAGATGAGGCCTTCGGAGTGGTAAAAGAGCTCCTATCCTCCAACAGCGTATTCATCCAATTCAACCATACTTTGCCGGTTTGGATCACCTGTGACACCTCCCCCTTCGAAGTCAGAGCATTCCTAAGCCATTGCCTACCAGATGGATCAGAGGCTCCCTAGCCTATTACTCCAAGACCTTGTCCCCGGCAGAATGCAACTACAGCCAGATCGACAAGGAAGCCTTGGCTGCAGTTGCAGGGATCAAGAGATTCCATGGTACATGTATGGCAGACATTTTGAACTCATCACGGATCATAAGCCACTGCTGGGGCTCCGCACTGGGAACCAATAAACCCTGCTGTACATCTCCCCAAGGATGACCAGATGGGCCATTTTCATCATAGCATACAACTATTAGCTGATCCACCACCCAGGGAAGGACATCAGCCATGTCGATGCACTCAGCTATTGCCAATTACCAGAGCTAGTAGAAGACCCCACCCCCACTGTACGGTACTGCTGATCGACATTGACCCAGCCAGCCCAGTCATTGCCAGGGACATCACCAAACACATACAAAAGGACAAGGGGTTGTGAAAAATTCTGAACTGGATGTTGAGGGGGTGGCCATAGGAGAAGCTGAGTGAGGAGTTCCAGAGCTACCAGAGTAAGCAGGCAGAACTATCAACTATCAAGAGTTGCTTGTTGTGGGGGGAGAGAGTCATCGTACCCCAGAGGCTACGGAGGTGAGCCACGGCAGCCCTCCATGAGGGTCACCCAGGGATATTACGGATGAAGGCACTAGCCTGGAGTTACATCTGGTGGTCCAATATGTATAAGGCCATCACGGAGTGGGTAGCCACTTGTAGAACCTGCCAGGAGACATGACTAGCCCCACCCCGGGCTCCCGTGTGAGAGTGGGAAGCAACCAAGGGACCGTGGTCACACATCCACATCGACTTCGCTGGACCAGTGGAAGGGCAGATGTTCCTGATAGTGTTGGATGCTTATTCCAAATGGCTGGAGGTCATTATCATGCAATCAACCATGGCAGAGGCCACTATCAGAACTCTGTGGAAACTGTTCGTGACCCACGGCCTACCTGACACCCTGGTCTCTGACAACGGCCCATAACTGACTGCCAAGATGATGGAGGCATTCCTCGCAGAGCAGGGGATCTGGCATGTTCTCATCGCCCCATTCAATGCAGTGAGCAATGGACAGGCCGAGCGAATGGTGAAGCTCACAAAAGAAACACTCACTCGAATGGGACCAGGAAGCTAGCAGGAAAAGTTCAACCAATTCCTTTTCACCCAACATATCACCTCCCATGCAACCACCACCAATAGCTGTTGATGGGGAGAAGACTGAGGTCCAGACTCGACCAGTACCACCCAGATTACCTTCCAGAGAACCCCCTGGATTCCGCTCGACCAATCCGGGAGTTCAACATAAATGACCAGGTATTTGCCCACAACTATGCCGGGTACCTGACTTGGCTGGCGGGTCGAATTGTGGCTGTCACTGGGCTGAAATCATACCAAGTGGAGCTAGAGGTCAGATGAATCTGGAGGAGGCACATCGACCAGCTCCAACACCGCCTGGGGGACGCTAAACTGAGGAACCAGGGCGATTGGACCTCACCCGCCAGTTCAGAACAACTCCCGGAGAACCCCAGGTCTCTGCCCCGCGGGGCATGCTCAACTGCCAGCAGCGAAGCAGACAATAGTCCCCACCAAACCAAGAGATCAAGGGACGACCGTCCAACCCAAGCAGCGAACACATAGTATTCTCACCGGGGATTGGTTGCCCAAACCCTGGGAAGTTTAAACAACTCCTTAAAAAGCGAACTCCAGCAGCCCAGCCAGCAGAGAGCAGTCACTTACTCTTGCAATAAAAAGTGCTGAAACTCACTCGCACCTATCACCTGTTGTTTCTCACCGATCTAACAGGCAGGACTACAAACAACCTCAAACTAAGGAGGAATTTCCTGCCAGTGAGAACAATTAATCCGTGGAACAGCTTGCCTTCAGAAATTGAGATAACTGTTGCCATTCTTTGTTTTCCTGATATTAAGATTCAACCCTATTTTTTCACTTTTGTCCTTGATATTCCATATTATTTTCTCCAGGTTTCCTTATTTTCAGCCAATAATGTTGTATCATGTCCAAGTTTTGATTCCACAAATAAAAACTTGGGACAGTAGTTTACTTCGGTCCTTCTGTTTTACCTCACATTTCCTAGGGGCATCAGTTCCGCCTTTTCCCCTGAATTCTCTTTTTCTTTATCTTCAGCCCCTGCTGAGTTCTCAGTGTGTGGATAGCTGCCTACCTGGGTTTGTCAGGCTGCTGGACCCCATGAAGCCAGTTTGCTGTTACCATTGTGTTCCTTGTGCAGAAGGGACCATCTCCACTCAGGAAGGTGAGTGAAAGAACTCCAGAGAGAAAGGTTGCCCATGTCTATTTAGTTTTTAATATTCACAATTTCTACCAGTTTAATTGGTTCTTAGCCAATCTCACTTTTTTCTCACAGTTACAAAAGAAGGATATATATTTTTCCCAAAGAAAGAGAGTTGGTAAAGTGTTGATGAACTGTTTTAATATATTTTTAAATCCCTACATGGCTTGAGACCAAGTTATCCGAAGGACTATCTCTTCATTCACATCCACCTGATCCACCAAATCAGGCAGGCAAGGAATGTTGCGATTTCCCATTCCTAAGGTGTTACACCTTCTCTGTGGGGGCTCCCTCTCTTGGGAACATCTTCCCTACAGAGATTAGAATGGTTCCCACTTTGTTACTCTTTCGCAAGGCCTTGAAGACCTTGTTTTGCCAATGGGCCTGGGAACTCCGAGTGGGATGGAGCCGACCAACTTATCTGATTGATTGTTGTCATCAGATGGCTGGGAGGCTATTATTTTTATTGTTCATATGTTGTGTTGTTATTTTTCCAAGCCACCAAGAGACAATGAAAGTGAGATAGAGAGAGACCATATAAATTCAAACCAAAAAACCAACAAATAAGTAATAAACAAATATGTATACATTTTATAGACATACCAAAAAAACTCAGCTTGCTCCAAAGAACAACCCACGTAAAAATATATAAATGTGAAGCACATAATTAGTATTAAATAGTAGAAAGGGGGAAAATATGATATTTAAAAATCTATCTGCAGTTTATATAGTCTAATATGGATATTTCCTATATGAAATTGTAATTGATTAGAAAAAGAGGAATCTGCTCAGGGACGTGCAGTCAGGGGAGGCAGCAGGGGATGACACCACTGTCATCATGAAAAGAAAAAAAAATTAAAAGGAAAAAGGCTGAGGTAGTTGCTGCCAGAGTCACAGTGGATGA